TTCGGATTTTTTTTACCAAAACGCAAATTTTTTTGTTCTTTTCGTTCTTATCGTCAGCGATGGGTCCCAAGCCAGTGAATTACGGGTGAAATAAATCACGATTTTTCCACTAAGAAGAATTCCTCTAAGAAAGAGAGGAACCGTCGAAACATAAATCCAATTGGCTTAATCTCACCTGGAAATATCACTCCGAAAACAGGAGAGTGGATCAGGCGAAGATGGCAGCTTAATAGTTTTACTCATGGTTTTTTCATTTATTCACAGAACATTCAAAACTGAGTCACATCGAATACTAGCAGACTGCTACTGTTAGTCTAGGCTAAAAGCCCATTAACTCATCCATTTAATAAATACAAGGCTTATGCTAGTACACCGTTAATGATTTTTCATATATGTATGCGATAGTTTCGTAGTCTGCTGTTCGGGGTGTCACTGCGATGTTCTCCACTGCATTCAGCGCTGCAGCAGTGAGTTTTTCTGAAAGTGATACCAGTAGTGATTCGATGTCATCGCTGGCATTGAAAGATGCAGTAATCGGCTCTAATCAATTGCATTCAAGGAGGCGTCCCTCATCCCACTTCCACCAAGAGGTAGCGACATTTAAACATGACAAAGTCTATACAATGTCTATAGTCTATACCTGTGGGAACCAATGGATAATCAAGTCAGTGCTTTCGATCCTGAAAGCAACTAAGGAATGAGAATTTGAAAAAAAAACGGTCTCGCAACCATTGTCGGACGCTTTGCACCCGCCTCGACCTGGTACTACAGCATAATCTCCAGTTCTGGATCCTCGTACTGTAACCCCTGCACTAGTCATTACCAGTTACAAATACCCCTCTTGGAGTAAACGATGGCCTGCTGAGATAAATATACATGACATGGTGCCTCAACAAATACGTTAGGGATATGCATGGCTTATTCACACATAGCTAGGATGGTTGCAAAGATGGGTCTGAAAAAGTGGTCCACGATAAATCCACGTCTTCGCGGCAAATATTCGCACTCATTATTACGCGACGTTTTAAACAGGAACGTCGCGATTGGGGCAACATGGGTAGTTGGCGTGGAGGGGAGAAGGGGGGTCGTGATATGGTCGGGTTCAGACCCCATCTCAAGACACTGCTGACCATGTCTCCCAATGCTAGACCACACCCCAACGTCCAATTATTTTGTAGACCACATTTTTTTGAGATGGTACAGATTGGCTAGAAATTACGGTAACAGAGCGTAGCGTACCGCGTGAATTATAAAAATTAAATGGATGGAATTTTGAATGTAGCTTTTGCCACGAGATATGTCTAAAATGATAACTAAAAATATTCACTAATATCAGGAAGTACCGACTTCTATTGATATCTAAATACCACCCCCTGAAAATTTTGAAAAAGTACATAAATATTGAGATCCAGGAACAACTTTTGGTTTTACAAGCTGAATGGTTAAGATACATACAAAATCAATGATTCTATTTTTGTAAAAGGGATAGCTTATATTCAATAGAACCTTACCAATATCGGAGTATTGAAATCCCATCGCCTCGAGTCCATTGGGCACTTGGAAATCCCGCATTAGACCACGAATTTGATCGCACAGTATCCTGGCGATGTAGCTGTTGCCAGCTGTGTCCTTAACATAAACTTTCGACCTTGCGAGCCACTGATTCTGCCCATGAATTGGAGGACTTCGGCTCTTGAGAAGACCTCAGTTCAATGCGCGTGATCCTCTGAAACTGAGATATCCATATGTCTAGCGGCGGAGCTCTTGTTTGCATTTTTTGTGAGGATGAATTGAGTGATCTGTTTCTTTGATGTCTAATAGAGATAACAACATATGAATGCGTTATAACCATAGCGTTCAACATCCGCACTTGATCACATCTAGTGGGGAAGCTTTCTCTACAGGACTTCAATAATTTTATGGAAGAGTACTCAAACAAGTGTTGCGGAACGCGGTGCGATCAATGGTCGCGGCTTGCTTAATTTTATGATGAAGTCCATAGACAGAGATAAAACTTCTTATCAACAGTGATAAACAACAATCAATTGTGATGGGTCTCGGTGGTGGCGCAGCACCGTTTACTACACCAGGGTCAAGCCCAGGATAGAAACTCGCCAAAGCTTGTGTGTACCAAGGCTTCCATCTCTCAATAGAACCGCCTCACGGCTCCAGCTTTACTTATTAGAGAGAAAAACGTAATGCTTAAATGTTTTGCTCTCAGCAAAACTCCTAGCTCGAAGGAATCGAGTATGACCCACTAACAGTGCTTCGGTGAGACCCGTTTGTTGACAAGTGGCAATCAAAGAAGTATCTTTCCACCTGCATGTTGTGGGTGGCGTGATGTGGGTGGTGTGTGGGGCAAACAGTTTCTCTGTTCCAGTCTCACTGGTAAATGACAAGCCGGGGTTTGTTACTTGGTTTACATAAATGGTTATAGTTACTGCACTAACCGATACTGTTGCTCCTAATTGCCGAGCCGCTTGGGCGTGCCGTTCTGGACATGCAGGTGTCAAGTACTCGAAGTCTGCTACAGCTGTAGTGACGACGGAGAGGCCATGAGGAATGAGGGGTTTCTTAGTCGGATAGTCGGCATCGAAATATGACTGGCCTTGCGAGCTGAAATGAATCTTGTTATTCGGAGAGAACCATTGAAAAGAGAGCCGATTGGAAGATAACTGATTTATTTTGGCTCTGACATACCTTGCTCGCATCTCGTCACAACTGCCAAACTGTGCTTCAAGCTATTTTACTCATTGTCGGGTATTCAGGCTACAGTGCGTATCATAAGTATAGACGCACCCCCAAAATTACCTATAGCTAGTATATCCATGTAGATAGGAAGACTTCGATTGTCAGGTAGAAGTAGGAACAGAAAAGTATCTGAAACTGACCCTGAAATATTGGACCCATTCCAAGAAATAGGTATGCTTTGCTCACCCTGCTTAATATCTATTCCTATAATCTGTATTATTGTGCTGCGCTAAAACTTGGCTAAAGTATGAGTATAAATGCGATCACTTCGATTTGGATGCTCCGCTCCTTGACAGGTTAGTTTACCCTTCCAAACGCGCGAGGGTAGAGCGACCTTCGCTGGCTGGGATCTACTATGTGATGACCAGTTTGATCCTACTTACTATTATACAAAGCGCTTCTTCCATCGGTCTATCGGTTTGCCGGTCTGCCACGGCGGCTTTCACAAAATTGGACACTACCTGAAAATGTGCCTGGAGAGACCGGGTCAAGTTTTGGATGGGTGGGTCATATTCCGAGAAGTATAATAAAACACACATCAGCTGAGCGGAGCCCCGCCCACAGTGGGCGTGGCGTGCATCGAATGGAGCGGTGACAACGAAATTCTCAAATCTAATTCCAAAACAGCCTAGAGACCAGAGAAAACATGGGCAAAGGTGTGCATTGGTAAGTCACATCGAATTAGGGAGACCCACCCCCGGTGGGCGGGGCGTTCTCTAAAAAAGCAGTGCTTTATGAAAAATTTCATAACTCGGTTGGGAGAAAGCCTACAGAGCAGAAAACAATTGGTGTAAGGGAGCAATGTCTAAGGTGTTTCCTGCATACATGACGTGGGCGGAGGCCCGCCCACAATGGGCGGGGCGCGCTCTGAAGTGTACAGCATTTTCTACAAGTCTCATAAGTCTTCTTCGTTCTTTGGTTTCGAGAAGTCCTAGAGGTGGAAAGGTGGATAGAGGTTAAAAAGAAAGGGAGCTTGAGTGTTAACAATGGTCAGGGCACGCACCAAAGCGGGCGGAGTTTGCCACAAAGCTTCATAATCCGGTTAGTGAGAGTCCAGAGACCGGGGAAAGTGGGTAATGGCTGACGAATGAGGGAAGGATGAGTGCTGTTAGGTGCACCGAAGGCGGCGTAGTTAAATCTAAAGTAGACATATGGTCCAGAGATAGAACGGAGACCATGTGAACGGATGGAATCTTGCCTGGAGTGGCAAGTCCGTAGACCGGGATAAATTTGAGAAGTCTGGTCGCACCGGCCGCCGCATCGTTGCGGAACTGTGCGCGCAGCAGCCTACCACAATAACTGATAACACTTAAAGGCACACCCCAGCATCAGTGGTTTGGTTATCGCACACGAAAGTGGAAATAGTATTGCAGCGAAGTG